CCTTAATTGGGGCTCCAAAGCCAGGAGCCCTGCTCGGAAACCCTAAACCTCAGTCCCGAAATTCTAGGCCCAGAAACCCTAGGAAACCAATCCAGGTCGAAGCCTGCGTGATCGATCGATGGAATCCTTCATGCGCTGTGCAGGAACCTCAGCTGCACTTATACTAGAGACCCTACTTGAAACTTAGACCGCAAACCCCTGAAACCCAAACCCTTAACCCCTCCACCCTTAAACCCTGAACCCTAAGTCGGCAACCCAGGGTGCCAATTATATCTCTCGAGAGATTGCCGATATCGTGGTCAATATGCTGATCATGATCTAATTCTACGAGACACTTGGATGCCATGGTTGGTGCACCCCCGAATTCCTAACCCCGAGCACTGAAGGCCGGGATGCCCACGGCCGGCGATCTATGTGTGGGAATTACCGATGAGCCCAACTTGCACACGTGAGGATGGCCGGTGATTCTAAGCGAAAGTGGACTTAGCAATCCTCATGCAATCACGCATGCATGCATAGACTAGACTGGTCCTGGGGCGCCCCGGGAACCATAAAGGAATGTGGAACAGCAGTCACCGATCCTTCGTGTGAGTTTCTACCTTCTGATTTTGTTAAATTTGCATCACGCTAGGAAGGCTGTGCGCAAGTACAGCTCGATCGAGTGAGCTATCACTATCACAGCTTGAATCCTGCAAGCATGGCCTTCTGAGCACGTGCTGCCGTAGTATGATCTATGCTGCACTGAATTATATTATGGGGTGCAGGGGATCGTTCAAGCAATCACGCCAAGCGGCGGCTGATGATTGCAGTGGATGCCAGGGTGAACCTTGGTACGTGGTCATGCAAAAGACCCAGCTCCTTCTATTCGGCTGTACGTGTCGTGTTGGTTTGCCTGCTGCCCTGCCAACACATAGCATGTTCGCCAGTGCAGTTATTCATCAAGTCGACGTGCAAGGAGCTGCTTTAAATCAGGATTCATGCCAAGCCATTAATCCCGAACGCCTTGAAGCTCCAAGCCCTGTACGAAGCTTAAGTCGAGACCTTCAGCTCTGAGTCCCAACACCCGGAATCCCATTTTCTGATCGACGCCGTGCAATAGATGTCTGGTAGCTTCATGCAGTTGAAGGGCCCAACCTGAATCCCAAACCGAGGTAACTACAATCCCAAGAACTTGTGTTGAAGCCCCTGAGGCTTGAACCTATACCAGTAACCACTGCTGTAGCTCAGAGACCCGTCGTTTAGAGGTTTAGGGGTTTAGGAGGTTTAGGGTTTAGGGTTTGGGATTTAGGGGTTTAGGGGTTTTAGGGGTTTAGGGGTTCAGGGTATATATTGTGGAAATGCAATGTGCCATAGATCCTATTCCCCGATCAAGTAATAATATGCAATACGCGACCCCGGTCAATCGAAATGGTTCTCGTTCCTGCATCCTCACTGGAGACCTTGTGTGTGACCGAGCTGCAGGACCGAATAATGTATATTGGCTGGTTTTCGATGCTATTAGGAATTAAATTGAAGCCGACGACATGCTGCCAGGACCAGTGGATTTCTGCCAGATCCGGCACAGACTACAAGGCCGAGCTTCAGGATACTCGGGACTGCAAGGCTGCATTAAGCAAACCCCGTAAGTTTTTGCAACCCGGCCCCTAACCCATGAAAACGAAAGCCCCAGTTCACCGAGGATCCTGTATATGCTATCTTGCCGTGGCCTTTCTGAGATGTTAGCCTGGCTTTGGGGCAACTGCTGGGGTCTATACGGAGCTCCAGGACTGTCTCTGGCCTTGGGTAACCCCAATCCCCCAACCTAAACCCCAAACCCTAAACCCCGGGGGGAAAAAAAAAACATTCTTTCCAGGATCCTCTGGCCTTGGGTAACCCTAAACCAATCCCGCAACCTAAACCCCAAACCCTAAACCCCGGAAAAAAAAAACACAAAACATTCTCGAGGGTATATAGTAGGTATATTAGGGTCCCAGGATTAAGGGTCCATACTAGGGATCCATGGGTTCTACCTTAGACCAAGTGATCTGCACCGGGGACCTCTTCGACCACGCTCCCGGTATACGGCTCTGGGAGGCGCACCTCACCTCGGGTTTAGGGCTGAGGGTTTAGGGGTTTTGGGTTTAGGGCTTAGAGTCTAAGGTTTAGGGTTTAGGGTTCTAGGGTATAGGGTTTAGGGTTTAGGGATTAGGGGTTAGTTAGGGTTTAGGGCTTAGGGTTTGGGGTTTAGGGCTTAGGGTTTAGTATAGGGTTTAGGGTTAAGGGTTAAGGTCTTAGGGTTAAGGGATTAGGGTTTAGAGTTTAGGGTTATTTCCACTTTGGTTCCAAAGGATCCCATAATCAGGCACTCGGCTTTAGGCTTAGGATTCCAGGATCCTCTGGCCTTGGGTAACCCTAAACCAATCCCGCAACCTAAACCCCAAACCCTTTAAACCCCGGGAAAAAAAAACAAACATTCTCCCAGGATCCTCTGGCCTTGGGTAACCGTAAACCAATCCCGCAACCTAGTACCCCAAACCCTAAACCCCGAAAAAAAAAACCTTCTCCCAGGATCCTCTGGCCTTGGGTAACCCTAATCCCGCAAGCTAAACCCAGGGACCCCAAACCCTAAACCCCGGAAAAAAACTTTCTCCCAGGATCCTTATTGCAGCCCCGGGGCCGATATTATATCATTGCGCTGGGCCTTGGCTGGAGTCGACACAGGACGGTAAGACATCGCGGGTTTTGCGATCATAATCATATGGGGTCTCAACAGAAATGCGGGCAGCAGGCATGGATTTGCTGCTTGACGTGTTGGATCTGTCCAAGCAGCTATCTGTAATCAAAATCAAGCAGCTGCTCGACGCGATCTCAAGTCGGATCCCCTCACTTTGGCTGCCGAACCCTGGCTTGCATTGCAGAACTTCAGACCCGAAATCCTCTAATATTAGGGTGTTCTGTTCCATTGCTAGCTGAGGCCTAGCCTGCAAGATCTCGCCGGCTATTCTACTGATAAAAACTGCTACAGGAATTTTATCAGTTGGGTGAACCGGCAGCCGTGGCGACAAATCCTTCCAAAGCCTACCGAGTGTCTTGGCATTCAATGTGGGCTTCACATGCTTCATGTAGAGGCTCTGCTGCAGGCTGCAGGGTTTTATCATAGTGTTCCAGCCGAGGGTCAAAGTTCTTCTTCTCAACAAGAAGAAGCCGAAGAAGGACCAGGTGTATGAATCCACCTGGCATGTGATGCTGCCGCATGATACGCTGGGGGCTGAAGCTCATGCTCATGCTGACTGCATCCTGTTGCATGGGCTGGTGTGTTGATCCCCTGTCGAGCATCCCGAGGCTCCGGTCCGTCTACAACTATTCCATGGATGAGTTCAAGCGATTATTCCTTGGAAAAGACGGTGTGCCTCGGACAGCAGCAGATCCAGCTGAGCGCGGCAAAGGGCAGTCGACCCTGGGAGTGTAGGCTACCCGGGAAGCCCCGACCAAGGATTGTCTCCGCTACTGGAAAAACATTCAGCACACCGAGCAGCTCGATCGGGAAACTTCTATTGACAATGATCGATGTGATGATCGGTTGTCAGCTGAGGTGGTTTCAGCAGCACCCGCTCCTCGCAAATCTGTCCGTCCCTAGTCTGCATTCAAAGCTTCGGATCGAGGCCACACTTTTTTACAAACACATGGGGGAACCAATTAAGGACACCGACTTGGAGAGATGCATCCCTCTTGAATTTTACGGAGATGATGCCGACTCTCATCGGCGAAGGACATTTTTGATTTGCTGCTTTCAAAGTGCTTTGGTGTCCGGAGCCACGCTAGACAAGCTGTTCCCCGTGTACTGCCTTGACAACCAGCAGGCATCTAAATACACACAAGGCCAATTGGACATGGTGCTCGTCTGGTCCCTCCAACAACTCCAGCAGGGCGAGCTTTTCACCCATGATTGGTTCGGACACCCTCACACACCGCCGTATCGCAACATCATGGGTGGCTACAGGGCCATTTGGGTTGGCATGAGAGGCGACCAAGCCTTTATAAAAAAGGTCTACGGGCTGTCCAAGTCGTGGGTGTCGAAGACTGTATGCCCTTACTGTAAGGTGGGGGCCTGATCAAAGTGTATGTATGTGCAAGCCAGCTGCTGTTGAAACGGAAAGTCCTGACCCCTGAAGGCCTCTTCGGATGCAAACTCCGGAATGCTGTATACCTACACTGGCTGCAATGCTCTACACCGAACCACGTTGCGCCATTGCACATATCATCGATGTGATAGACTTTGTCTGTGAAGAAGACAAGCCTAAACCCTAAAACCTCTAAAAAAGCCCAAACTAACGGATCCAAATCGGTCCCTGTGCTAAGGCTCACTACAGATGGGGAGTTCATGCAGACCATCTCAAGGTCTGCGTGGCTACTCTGCCCTGGGATGAGTATCAAGCGTGTGTGGCCGGACTACTTGCATGTGGTGGACCTGGCACTGGCGCCGGATGCTGCAGCATCTGCCGCTCGGCAGCCCATAGCCGGACAAATCAAAGTACGTCCTAGCCTGGCTTGCATATGTTGCTGGAACAGGCATTGCTTGAACTCACTCATGATGCTTCACACTGGCCAGGACTGGATCGTTAGAAAGACTTTGTGGGTGCCCGAATCTCTCCTTGGTGCCCGCTTCCCCCAAGAATACAGGAGATGATCAACAGGAACGACTGAGCAATGCCTATGCCGACTTTGCTGCGGCATGCAAAGCAGAGAAGGTCCGCTACTTGCCACAGATCGAGATATATATATATATAGGCTACCTACATAATAGCTATATAGGAGGTTCGCGTGCACGGGCTATAGGGATCCATAAGTATATTTTTTCTTTTGTTCCGCAACGAATCCTGGCATGCAGGACATTCAGCATATGCTGCAAATCTTACTGCCCAGTAGACTGGGACGGTGGGCTGTAGCTAAGGCTGCAGGGCTCCGCCGTTCAATTTGGAGGCTATCAAAGCCAATCGGGCTACTGGCCAGTACCCGTCACTGGCACAGAAGCACCTGAGTGGGGCTGTGGCTAGATTAACTATGTGACAAATTCTGTACATGCAAGTGTTGGGACTTAAGCCCCTAAACCCCAGACCCTAAACCCAAAACGCCTCGCTAGCTCAGGAGTCCATAATCCTGGTGCGGTGGCTGGCTGGGATATGTTGGGCTGTGGCTTCTGTCACGAACAGCCAGCATGATTTGCTACGAGCTGGCGTCTTCGTTGGCCTGGACCAACTTCGAAATACTTTTGCTGATGCCGGGCCTGTGCTGAGTGCCCGTGAGCTGGAAGCTGCTGAATTCTTCAAAGACTTGTATCATTGCTCTCTCCTGGGAGTCCCGTCAAACATGTTCTGGGGATGTTGCACTGTGGGCTCATGTTAGGGCCTAGGGTTTGGGGCTAGCAGCTAATCATCCTTGAACTCGTGCCAGCTGCAGAGTATCCAAGGACTAGCTCGGGAAGCTCTCGCTGCTCGCAAGCTTTTATGGAAAATCCGGCCGAAATTCCACATGAGCCTCGGCCGAATCGTTCG